ATCGGAGATTGGCCAATACCGAGTTTCCTTATACAGGTGCAAAGTGTTCACTGACTTGCCACTTTCTATTGGCAATTTATTCAAAGTTTCAGCAGTGCCGTGACTCCTAGTACATGATGGCTCTTAGTTTAAATGTAATCGGTAGTGTATTTAGTGCACCTCCTTACATGAGAAATTAATAAGAAAGATGCATTCTAGGAAATTGAGTGGTCATTTAGATCAAGACAAAACAATTATCTGTCTCGAGGATTGTTAGTATTGACCACAGTTGAAGAGAGATGCTGACATGGGTAGAACACCGGGTCTATATGCTTTTTTGCCTATCCCGAGGCAACCTTGGGATGATCTTTCCATCGACTTTTTGCTGGGATTGCCTCGTACACAATGAGGTTCATTTCTATTTTTGTTGTAATGGATCGATTTTCAAATTTATTCTTCAAGAAATTGTCAAACTACATAGGATACCTCGAATATATCACTTTTGATCAAAATCCAAATTCTTAGCTTATTCTTTGTCCGCTTTGTGGAAGAAGTTTGGGACAAAATTAAGACTCAGCACGTGGCGTATCATCAAACTGATGGTCAAACTGAATTGATTAATGGAACCTTAAGGAATCTGTTATGATGTACTATGGTGAAAAGAAGAAACAATAGGATATTGTTTTGGCATTAGCAGATTTTTATAAAATAGTACATTCTTCAATGGGTAAATCTAGGGGTGTCAACGAATCGAGCCGAAACCCCAGGCTCGGGTTTTTTGAAAGTGGACTTTTTTTTTGCCCTAGTCGAGCAAAAGCTCGGCCAAAAAATTAAGGCTTGACCTGAACTTTCGGCTTATTTTTTTGTTTTTTCCCCCCGCTAAGCTGCCTGCTGAGCTGCCTTAACTGGCAAGCAACAAATTAGTTGCCAACATGCAGCTGATTTAGTTCCTTCCTTCCTTTCTCTCTTTTTTAACGGGCCAGCCCAACTTGAGCCGAGTCTCCAAAATGGGGCTCGACCCAAGCCTTGAGCTGGGCCAGCTGAGCTTTTTTTGGGCCGATCCACGGACAGCCCGAGCCGATAAGCCCGATTGTCATCTCTAGAGAAATCACCTTTTGATGTTGTTTATAGGAGGACTCCCACACAAGCAATTATGTACGGATATTTTTTAGAATCAATGAGTTCCATAAATTAAATGGGAATAGTGTTGGGTTAAGTGTAGTGCTATATGAGGTTCTATAAGGGAAAAAGAAAGAAAGAAAGGTGCTTTAGATAAATTACCTGACATACACCATAATTTATTAACCGAAGAAACATGTGCGCATTAACAACTTTCTTTATTGTAGCAACATGTGATTACAAAAGAAGTCGGACTTTACAAAAGATAACAGAAGTTGTACATTTTAGACATATGAACCATTATTGCATAGCAAAACCAGCATTGGTTCAGAACAAAAATATTTATCCTATGTAGTAGGTTCTAGTTTTTACTCTTTATTCCATCATCGTATGTTCAATTTTCTTCTTGGTTGGAGTAGCTATTTCCAATGATTGAAGTAGAGATCTCTTTGCTGTTGGTGCAGGAGGAGTTTCTTCATTAGACAAACATGAAGACAAGTAAGGGTAAATATGTCCATTTCCTTTGTTGGTGACTTCATTCTTATCATCAGCTTTTGATAATATAGGATCCAGCATGAATATAACATCATATCTGTACTGCGCTGAATTTGGTTCTCTTTGTACAGCTTGTATATAGAAAACCTGTCATTTTCTATTGTTGTACATATGAAGTCCAAAATGTTTGTTCTAACATCCAGTTGAAGAGAATTATTAGCAATCATAAATCCTTTAATGTCTGTGAAATTTAATCTTATTTGTTTAATATATGTGCATACCAACAATGTGTGCTCCATTAAATTTTGTGCAGTAGATAGTTAATTTTTTTCAACTGGCTCTCCAATGGCAGTTGCATTGATGTATCCAGGTGAGTCTTGTAACTCAAAGTATACCATTGCTCTAAAGAAGTAATAAATTTGTGATTAATGAATGTGAAGAAAGTATAAACCTGTAAAAGAAAATGATGACTGAGCTGTACAGGGATTACATGTACAGGAAGCTTGTGTGTGCATACAGTAGAGAAAAATTTTTACCATTAAAAGAAGAGAATTTCAGATACTTAGCAATGACAAATGGCTATTTTATTAAATTTTCTGAGATATAGTTGCATTCATTTTCAACAAAGTTTTCCCACATCGTGAGAAGAACTATTTGAATCCTATATATATATATATTATTTGAACCGAGCGAGTTCAATTATCTGAGTGTCAATGGTTAATTTCTAACGTCCAGTAGTGAAATTGATCATTTGATTTGAGGTCATCATAGTGCCTTATATAAGAATAGTCATACTTTGACGGTGTTGAATATTGTTCTACCAAGAGTCGCTAATATGACATCATTTGGATATGTCAAGAATCATGTGAAGGTTATGAATGACTAATAGATGATTCATCACTTTTAGATAGTAAAAGATTATGATCTGCATTTTATCTAGTTGAGTCGATAACGAAATTGTTGATCAATGTATACTCATAAGTCAAAAATGAGTTTTCGACTTATACTGACTTAACATGGAGTGAAAGATATGATCAATAATCAGACTGATACATTTCTATATCTTGTAATTGATCGGATCATATTGACGAAGGGATTATAGTTCCATAGTAAACGAACAAATTTGATTTTGTCATACCACGTGACATTTCCTGTCACATGTATTGCTCTAACACATTGCTAAATGTTAATCTGGGACGACGAGTATGAATTGGTGATAAATTAAAATGAGTGTTTTAATTTATCAATTTTGATTAGATCAAAATAATAATTCACGTCATTGGGTATCGTGATTAAGAACCTGATGGATCACACACAAATGAAGAACTGGAAGATTGTGTTATACCAATTAATTAATTTAACAAACATTGGATAAATTAATTAATTGGATTATTTATTTATTGGCTCGGATTAATTAATTAAATTAATTAATTCATGGATCGAATTTAATTAAACGAGTTTATTAAATCTTGGATCGGTTTAGGAAACGGGCCAAGCCCGTTTGGGCTCGTATAAATATGTGGCTAGGGTTTAGAGTTTTGTAGAGAAATCATTCTTCTTGCTAGCACAAGAAAACCCTAGTTTTACAATCTGTTTCTCTGTGTGGATTTTCATTGAAGGTTAGACAATTGGACAGTTGTGAAGGCAAATGAAGGTTGTTGGAACAAAAGGGAACAGCAAAAAGTTCGTAGAATTCTTCAAAAGTATTATTTTTTATCATAATTTTTATCTAAACACAAAAAAATCCTTGAAGTTCCGCTGTGGATGTTTATGTAGATTCTCAACAAATCTTCCTATGAAAATTGGATTGGAACTTCAGAAAGTATCTAATAAAGAAATGCTTACTGATCCTGTTACCATTTTGAATCAGTAATATGTCTTAAACAACCAATCTAGTCTTCCGAATCAAATTCATTCTACTCTACATCTTTTGTAAGATTGTCAGCAACTTTAATTTAATACTTGCTCCCTCTTAGACTTCGGACCACCTATCAGATTGCTTTGACCATCAAGGATAAGGTTGAAGATCTAGAACTAGCTAGAAGTAGAAATTGACAAGGCATCTTTAAACAAAGGTTTACCTTAGTCTGAACGAGTGTTCTACTTGAACTGAGCTATACACTCCTTCCGAGTAAGAAATTGTAGAATTCAAAATGCCACCAAGTCTGTATTTATTGTGGTCTTTCAAACCGAATGAAACAATTGCTTTTATTCTCGTCTTTTTAAACTGTTCTTTGATTAATTGCCCAAATTCATGATAGTTGTTGGCCATAAAAGGTAATTATAGGACCCTTTTTTTTTTCAACGTACAATACCATTTCCCAGGTTCAAGTACAAAAGTAGTATATATCATACTTTACAGTAAATTTAGAATATCATAGTTCCCAAATTATATAAACTTGGTAGAACACAAGGATTACTCATCTGCGTCGTGTGCACCAATTACGCTTATTCACATGCATGAAAGCATTAGCAAATAATACAGTTCTTTGCCATGAGTAAAAATGTTACGAATCAAATGAGAATCTCTCTCCACATACAATAATTTAAGAACAATTCTAAACAGCCGTTTTATTCATCTTTTCGCCAACTTCACATCCATAGCTACTGAAACTTTACCCCCTGTTTGGTGGTCACTTATATACTTATATATAGGCCTAATTACATTATCCATTCAATCACAGATAAGGATGCTAATGTAGCATTATTTGGGATTCCAAGTGAAACGAGAAGCTTCATTCAGTTTTCTGTGAGACGGTGAAGTATGGTGCAAACCTTGGTCCTAATGTATAGGACATCATATTCTATTCCTTACCTCCCAGCACTCTGAAAAACAAAAAATGATAGTCCTTTTACAATTGGGAAAATATTCAAATTCCTGAACATACCACAAAACTTCTGAACAATGTAACGTCGACCGGTATTGTATTACTACTGTTATGAATCTATATGCATATATAAGTTAATATTTCTCCATTACTTAAAATAAAGCTCATGAGTATGGAATTTTCTCTCAATTACTTTTCCTACACTTGATGAAACGACCAGTGATGCTCTACAAGTACTTGTTAATGTGGGTATTCCATGCTGCAAGTAACAAATTAACATCATATCTTAATCTTTTATGTTATTTGCTCACTACTACTTCATTTCAATCACTTCTGAAAAAGTCCCACATTGCAGGTTCTTGTATTTTCTACAACCCTTAGAATATGCTATGTACTTCTTTCACCAATTTTAGAAATTATACATAAATACACTATATTATATAACTTGTGGAACAACTTTTCTTACCCTTTACCTCAGAAAGCAGCTCCCATCTAGCATCTTGCAAGAAATATAACGACAGCATTGCCTCCGGCTATCTACAAACAACCTGTACCGCGCTACCAATTAATAGACTGCTGTTAAGAACATTTTTGCTGAGCATAATCACCATTGACAACACCACCATCAATGTTTAGATGCAGGGATTTTTTCTTCTTTGCATCTTCTGTAGCTCATTTCCAGTAAAGATGATTGCTTCTGTTACCTTCATGCTTTTTGTCATCCTACATTACACCTTCTTTTACAATTTTCGGATGTTAAGTTTCATTTGTTATCTAATAAAAATTAGATTATTTCGTAATTGTTTCTACTTATATTTGATAATAAAGTAGATTATAAATATTTATTAACTTGTGTGAAGCAAGCACATGAACAAATGCTATATTATAAATCGAAGATTAAGAAAAACTTGCAAAAGAAACAAGGAGTATGAATCTATTCTTCAAGCACGGTAACGTTACCTTCAAAATCACAAAACCTGTGCATTGCAAGGCACAAGACTAGTAATGTTTAGATGAGAGAAAAAACATTATTAAAGAAAAATACATATAAAATTTCTGAGAAAAAAATAATAAAAGAGAGATCTGCAATACTGTTGAATTATAGAAAGAGATGAGGTGTGACTAAATATTCAACACCTGATTTACTGATACGGGCTTCCTCGAAGATCTGATACAAGGCTTTCTGACTTGCACCATCAGATTCTTCGACACAAATCTTGAGAATGTAACGGACCGTCTTAGGACTTGGAAGATACGCCCAACCTTTACCCCTAGCTGAAAAGAATTTCCGTAAGCAAGACAGAGCCTTAGAAATCCTCCTCTCTTGGATGTGGAGCAGGGCAAGATTCTCCCACATAAATGGATTCGGTTTTATTCCCACTTGAATCATTTGGTTGAAGAACGTCTCAGCTTCTTTAAAAAGCCCTTTGTTAACATAACAATACAATAGATAATTTCTTTTGTAATTACGGGGCTCATCAATAACATCTCCGTAATCAGAATCAGAATCAGAATCATACTTAGAATTAGAATTAGAATTAGAATCAGAATCATCATTACCAAGCTCTTCAATAATATCTTCAGAATCAGAACCATCAGGTTGGGAAAGCCATTCCTCGTAAATCTTTTCAGCATCTTCAATATCATCCATTTTAAACAAATAATAAATTACTGACGAGTAGCGATCAGATGAGTATTTTGGAAAGACAGAGTTGTAATTTTCCCAAACTCGGTAAAGCTCGTGTTTGTTGCGAAGTTTACCGCAGAGATTAGCGAGATAGCTGAATTTGTAATGCTCGTCCGTGATTCTACTCTCAATTTCGTTCAAACAGTCCTGAGCCTTTTCAAGCTGCCCTAACTCATTGTACATAATAGCTATTGAGGAGAAGAGATCCAAAGAGGAATCGCAGGTGGTTTCCCGCTGCGCCTGTTTAAATAATTTATCCAAAGATTCTTGATTTTGACAGGACCACAGCCAAATATTGAAGGAATGTCTACTTAATGGTATGTTTTCCTCTATCATTTTTGCGATCAATAACTCAACCTTGTCATTATCTTTAAGGTCCTCATAGAATTTCAGCATCGTAAAGAATGAAATTTCATCACTGGCATAACCCGCATTTCTCATTTTATTGTAAAAGGATTCAGCATTTATTTGCATTCTGGCATCCATATACCTAATCAAGAGAGCGCTATAAGTTGCCCCCAGGGCACATCTCCAAGTGGTAAAAGGGGAGGGTGGAGAAATCCAGCTTTACTTGAGGCTGCTGCGTCAAGGGTTCGAATCTTGAAATATGGATTTGGCTCTTGGGTAAGTGCAAGTGTACTAACAGCCTTCCACCCTGTACCCTTGGAGGCATAACCTGCGATTTACCTCCTTCACGATGCTCCAGGGCAGGGGTGGTGGGGGACCGTTAAGGTTAGGGTTTAACCTTTAAGAGAGCGCTATAAGTTCTTTCATCCTTCATGGCATCTGACAATTTCATGAAGTATTTTTCAGCACTTGAAACTCCATGTACTCTTGCAATCAAATACACCTCCCTAGCAGTGTCCTCCGGTGTCATTTCGTCCCTCTCTTTCCAGTCATTTATCCACTGGTTGACCTGCAGAGTGTACAAGAACACGAATTTTCTATCAAAAAATCGATTTTGAGATTCACATGACCCAAACTGAAGCTGGTGCGAATCATACAGCCTAATTAAAACGAAGTCTCATACACGATGAGGATGACGGTGACGAGAGATAGCTGAGTTGATCATGCCAAAACAATAACAAAGTTATCTAATCATGCTGCAACCCTCATATAGAGAAAGCTTAGTTACAAAGTACTCAAAATCAAATCAGATTAATCATTTGTTCCAAGGTCAAATATTTTTTCTTCATCAATATTAAATGGAAATATAGAAGCCCGAAAGTAGATTCGGCAAAATGTTATAGAGCGAATTATGGAGAATCCTAAGCTTCAATTTATATTGAACACTTTGATTTACCTCAAGAGCATCTTGGTAACGTTCTTGACTCACGAGGCTCGAGATCACATTTCGAAGCTTGGATAATACATCGTCGCCCTTTTTCCCAGGTACTTCATTCATGGAACTGTGATAGCCGTGAATCATGTGTAGAAGGTCAGGGCCTGTGTCTGTCTTGTAACTTAGCTTGCCAGCATCATACCCTCTTCCGGAGGCACGTAGGCCCTCAATCGTTTTAATCTAAAATTGAACACTTTATGGAGGATGGATTCTTATGGGTTCGAGTAGTAATATTAACCGATTTAAATGAGAGTTTTGCGGTTGTGGAACTGGAAACAAGGAGACGGTTTTGAGATGGGAAATTGAGATATTCCGGCATTGAGAATCGTTGCCATGGAAGATCTTGAATGCTGAGGAAGACAAGAAAAAAGAGGGCAACAAAATGAAAATTTTAGTATCTTTCTATTCGATATCCTAGCCTTATGGTTTCGGGTTTTGGGCTCCAATTTAGGGATGCCGAGAAAAGAAAAGGGAAAAAATCTCAAATGCATTAGAAATTTGAAATATTTCTTTAATTACCATAATTATTCTAAATTTTAAATTATACTACAGATTCCACTTAAAATCATCGAAAATACTGCCATGCAAACTTTCCATATAGGCATACACACAACTAATGATTAAATTTGGTTACAATTATTTTTTATTTGTCATATGGTGAATTATTTAATATTTTTATAGTATTTCATTGTGTCAATGTCATAAAATTACATGAAAGATTACGTAAATTGGATTGAAAATGAAAAAAAAAAAAAATTTAAAGAGAAATAATTTACACCAAGATGACTTTTTCTTTCTTTCTTTTTTTTTTCTTCTAAAACTACTACAAAATTCTAATAACAACATATTTACAAGAATGGACTGGAGTGAAATTTCTTTAGGGAATTTACTGTACACACTTTCCAAATCCCACATCGGAAGCGGTAGGATAATGTATGGGAATTTTAAGTTTTAAAGCCAGCAATTGAAAATTGCATAGTTGTCAGATCCGACCCGAACACTCACTTGGAAAATGTAGTGGGTCAATGGTTCAATCGGTGACCTGGTGGTTCTACCGGTGGGTCAATTTCTATTGTATATTATTAATTACTTTTATTGAATAATAAAATTTTACTATTTTCTTCCAATAACTAAGTTATCTTATGTTATTTTGTTAACTAAAGATCAATTTGTATTCCAAATTTCACAAATTCTAGATCATATACAGTGAAATATGCTTGGAAAAATAAAACAAAAATAAAAAATCATTTAAATCTTATTCAATGAAGTCACTCTTTTGTCTTTATACGAAATTGAAGTTTGAACTTTGAAAGTGCCATCAGATTTCTCTCTCCTTTTCTGCCATCTCCATTCACTTGCCATCTCCTTTCCTGCAATCTTTTTTCCTGCCATTTCTTTCTGTCAGAGAAGCATTATACAAATGAATAAAATCAAAGAATCTTGCTACGGAACCCGGGTTTTGCTCTGATCATTTTCATGTGGGGTCCCCCACACATACGTTCAGGGGCCGAGATTTGGCCACCTCGACCCCTGGAAATCCCGGGCTCAGCTTTATTCAAAACCAAATGATTACATTGTTTGATACATCTCTTATAGTCGGGGTGTGAGTCCCAAGGAAATAAAATAATGCTGACCTCTCCATGTGAGTATAATGTGTCAACTTATGTGTCAAGCCTTGTGGTCATGTAGCAAACCCTTCCCCTCAAAACCACTAAACCAGATCTCAAAAATTTATATCCTATGAGCGTGAAAAAAAAAAACTATTGATTGGAGAGTCAGTGAAAGGCAAAGGATTTATAGCCCAAATTCAAACCTTACGTTATAAGCTTCTGAAAAATAATGGGCCTGTCTTTGCTGAGGAATTAGTTGTGGAAATCCTAAATTCTTTCGTTTCGCTGAGACTATTTTTGGTGTTAAGTTCATCGCCGGTGACCATAATGGTCTGTTCCGTGAGAGTGAGAAGAAGCCGACAAGGAGTCTGGAGACAGTTTGTTTTCAACAAATAATAAGACCCGGTCGGGTCAAGGAAAAATGGGCTGACGAGTTAACCTAAAAATCGACGGTTCAACGGGTTTGAAGCGGGTTGTTTGTCAAGCAATAAATCAGTGCAACTTGGACCGGACTCGAGTCCAATTCGTCGGTTTCCAAACCGAACCGGCCGGTCCGATTCGGTCCAGGTTTTATAACTATGGGAAGAACTACTACGCCGTAAGGGTTTTATAACCAAGATCATATCAATAGCATAGTATGGTATTGGTAAAATATCTTCTTTCGAAACTAGAGCTACGGAATGCCCTCTATGTGAGGTAAGAAGATCGATTTGTGGTCTGATTTTTTTCCCTTTTCTTGATTAATTGATTTGAGGGTTTTGATTTTGCTCGAAGGAAGAGAGCAATGTGATATGGGTGTTTTGATTTTGTGGAAAGGAAGAGAGCAATGTGATATGGGTTTTTTTGAGGTAAGTGCAAGATTTGAATAAAGTTGCAGAAATCCCGAGCTCCGATCCAGGGGCCGAGGTGGCAAAATCTCGAGTTCTATAGCATGGTCCGATTTTTGGGTTAAAATGTTTTGACTGTAATTGACTCATGTTTGAAAGGAAAATAATGACTTTCTAGTTAATCCACTTATTGTTGGGGTTACTTTTTAGTTTTATTTAGGAGGATGCTACAAGTACATCGGGGGTGCCATAAGGGTGTCCATAATGGACACCCGGCACCTCCCCATTGGAGGACACAAGCACTCCTCCAATGGGGAGGTGTTAATGGACACCCTTATGGAATCTCGGATGTACAAGGAGCTTAATCCTTTATTTTATACTGTCTAAAATGCAGTATATCAAGGAAAAAATAAGATGACAATTATAATATGAAATATATATATATATATATTTTATGCTATGTGTAATTTTCCCAAAAGAAAGGGAACCCTCATATTCATAAATTTTAATTGTAACTATATATTATGTCCCTAATTTTTTCATCGATAATTTATTACCGCTACAAAAATTATTAAGTGCACTATAAACTTCTTTTTTATTTAAACAACCTTAAGTAAAATTACATAATCAGATTAATATACTTCTAATTATTCACCCCACATTATAATCACACCACAAATATAAACCTAGTATATTCTTCTTTTTCTTTAAATGTCTGTAGTCGTCAAACACAATTGAGACCTATTCCTCTACTAAACTTGGTTGTGAAAGCCATCAACCCGTTTCGAATATAAGGCCCTATTTGACCCTTATTTTTACCTCATTAAAATGAAAAATATGACCGTTATCCGTCACATCAAGCCACCATTTTTGAATTTCTATCTCTTGTGTGGGATCCATAACGACTCTATTTTTCATTCTCATTTTACAAATATTGTGGCTCAAATGGGCTCTAAATTATGTTTACCTGCATTGAATCACAGAACAGTCATACAGCCAAGTCCATACAACAGAGGAAATAAATCAAATTTTCTGGAATATTTGCTGAAGAGACAATTTGCTCGTCAGGAAGACTCAAATGGACTAACAAATAGTGTGATTTTTCCTCAAAAATCATAACTATCCAAATCTAATACAGACTCTTTTCCCACAATGGAGAATCACTTGTACAATTTGTAACAGGACTCCGACGACTCATTGCTGCGATTCCAAGAAATTGAATTTGAAAACCCACTACCGTGGGAGGATGGGCAGATGCCAATAAATTACCAAGTCAAGTTCATGCGCAGTTATGGCGGAAAAAACCACCTTCGTCCTCATGACCACCTGTTATCTTTTATTTGGGTGAGACCAAAATCTTGGCAATTGTTCTAATCATCAAATTTGGGTCTCTGCTTTCAAAGCTGATTGTACTCCCGTGTAAACAGAAAATCCCGATCAATTTCTTAAGTGTGATGAGGGTAATAGTGAATTTCTTTGTGTTTTAAACTTTTAAAGATGATGAGGACGCCACAATGACTTATTTTTAGTTTTTATTGAATTATGAGTATAATGGTAAATTTATTGTGATGTATTTATTAAAAATATATTTTAATTGTGGTGTATTAATTAAATTTTGTGGGGAAATATAATTAGCCTTTTTTCATTAAATTCTTGTTTTCAAATCAGCACAAGGATTTTGGTCCCAATAGATACGGTGAAGTAAAAAGACTTAATTGCCCTTCACATTTTGAAATAAAGCAAAAAATTGTACAAATAAAAAATAGGGTAATCCGCACAAAACGTCCATATCTTTTAAGCTTATTGTAGAAAACGTCTCTACCTTTCATTTTTTGACATTTTTCCCTTATTTCAACGTTTCGTTGCGCTAAACATCATTTTCACTGTTTTTGTACGGAAAATAAGCATTATACCTTCTTATTTAAAACAAAAAAATCAAAAAAAATAAATAAATAAAAATAAAGCACAAATTGCAATCACTCTCCCAAAAGTTTTTAAAAAATATAAATCAATCCAAGTTGTTTTAATAGTAATTAGTAGCTGTTAATTTATCTAAATTAACTTCAAAAGAACAGTCTTCACCCGTAATTTTGGATTCTAAATTATGCTCTGCCAAGAATTCGTTCAGTATTCAAAGGAACCAACTAGAAGATCCAAACACGCAAAACATTCCTCATACGCCTTAAGAAACTGGATATTAGAATCTTGACCGACTCCAATTTGAGCATGCTACACTGACTCCCTCCATATGATGTTTTCCTCATTGGGGCAATTTATGTATACCAGCCCAAGAATCCTCGACAACGATGGAAAGCCCTAAAATTGGCCAAGTTGGAGGTTGTGTTGGTCCGGCGCCCAAGGTGGCAAGAGGGTGGAGTTTTGGTTGTGAGGGAAGAGGGGGAGGAAAAGGAAGGAAGAGAGAAAAGAAAAGAAATAGATAATTTTTAAATTTTTAATATTTTAATGATTTATTGGACTGATTTACATTTTTTTCAAAACTTTGAGAGTATGATTGCAATTTGTGCTTTATTTTTCTTTTCTTTTTTGATTTTTTGTTTTAAATAAGAGGGCATAAATGACATTTTACATTCAAAAATAGTGAAAATGACGTTTTGTGTAACGAAACGTTGAAATAAATGCAAAATGTCAAAAAATGAAAGGTAGTGGGTTTTCCTCAATAAACTTGAAAGGTATGGACATTTTGTGCCAATTACCCTAAAAAGTAAAACTAAATATTTGTCTCTCGTTGCAATATGTGTTAACAGTATTTTGGACGAAAATCATGGTTATGAACAAGAATTACTAGTAAATAAAAATATTAAAGATAAAGTATGAGAAAAATACGTATATGAGATAATATTAAGATACAATTTCAAAATAATAAGGGTGATTATATTATCACTACAAAAATTGTTAGTGACAACACAATTATTTTAGTTACTTAAATGACCTTAAATAAAATTATTTAAGTGGGTTTTTAATATATTTATCACATAAAATAATTTATTCTCCCACCACAATTATAAAACCTTTAAAAATTTATCTTCTTCCCCAATCGCCAATCCCTCCTCCAACCCTCAACCTCAAAACTTCATCTTTCAATTAAATTTGGTCATTAAAGAGAAAGAAATGAAATCTCTCTCATCAAAATTAAATTGATCCCATGGAAGGACAATGATTAAAAAATTATGTTTCATTGATGAAGTTGACCGAATTAATTTTCATCCACAAGAAAACTTCTAGGCATCACTTGTTAGAAGAAACCGTCTACGAGACATCAAATGCAAAAATTGGCAAGGTTTTCCCCGAGCAATACTGTTCGTAGTTCATGCATCTGGCATGTGTTAACTTGCTTAAATATTTTTACATTATTTTAAGCTACTTGCACTATTTTGGGGAATTCCATGGTCTTCCCTGAGAAATACTTTTTGTAGTTCATGAATCTGGCTTGTGTGATACTGCTTAAGTATTTTTACATTATTGTAAATTACTTTCAGCATTTTGGGAAATCTCCTTAGCCAGCTTACGATAGCAGCATTTTGGGGAATCTCTTTTGCCAGCTTACGAACCTGTGTTTGACTGGAAAAATGAGAGATTAATGATCTTTGGGCAAATAATTCCTGCAACTAACACATCTCAGTATACCATTAATCTTATTTTTCTTCTTTTCAAGAAAGTTCATAATTTAGAAAGAAAAGCAGTAAGAAAATGAGAAAAATATAATGGCAGATTCATATCATTCTCAGATCCAAAGTAAGTGCCTGTGTGTATACATGTTTGTATGTATGTATATGTATAGATATTAGGGTATGGATTTTGATTGGTACACCACAACATTATTAGGTGATGAAAGATATTGAAAATGATTCCCCCTTAAATTAAGAAATTGATTATATATTCTTTCTAAAAATAAAGTGAAATTCATTAATTAAAGTGGGTGCACTCAATTGAGATTGTGATTGATTTTAAAAGTTATTCTAAAATTAGGTGTCTTTAATTGAAATTCTATTGGATTTTAATTAAATTCATTAAAATTCAGGTGTCTCTAATTGAGATTTTAATGAAATCTTTTAAAATTTAGGTATCCTCAATAATTAGTGAATTTATTAAAATTTCGTTAATTGATGGATTTTAAAATATTTGGATGGAGTTCAAGCTTAAATATACATATAAACAAATTTTTTGAAATTTCACCATATTTGATGAGATTCTTATGAAATTTGTAAGAATCTATTCAAGAGGGGTGTCTTCAATTGA